GGGTTTGAATCACCAGCCTTCTGGTTAGCATCAGATGCCTTAGGCAGTACGCTACAGGCGTTTTTTGAGTTTGTGCAGTGTGGCTCATTCTCTTTGAGCCTACTATGTCTGCCTAAGTATGAAACTTTTGTTCATGCAATTACCTTGGATACTTTTACATCATGAGGCCCAACCCATTTGGGTGAGTTTGGAGAAACTGAAAGATCTGTCAGGGGTCCGAACACCAGCATGAGTTTTATTCAGAATAAGAGAGAATAAGCAAAATCAAGAGAGAGGGAGAGAGAGTTTACAACATGATAGATAAAAGGTAGAAACAGGTTTACACAACTTATTAGAAGCTTTTTCTCATCCAGCATCTGGCCAGACTGGAATGGATCCAAGAATATTCACAAAAACCCACACATCTTTTGAGAATATGTATACCTGAGTTTGGGGGATTGAGGACAGGGTCTATGTGACCAGGACTGGAAGGCTGCTGACCAATTTCTAGTCTTGGTGGGGCCTGGGCCACTCCGGAAGGGTTCCAGGGCAGCCCTTTGGGAACCACCTGTATTTGCTTTGATAAAACACTGCTGGTTTAGGGCTTATTGGCCCAGGGCTAGCTAAGGAACAGGTTAATCCCTATAGTTCCTAACAGGGAGGAGGTGCTTGAAACCTGACAGGGAGGGAGAGGGGAATGACTAGCAGTTTCTTACAAGCACAGCTAAACCATAAGCAACTTGATATCATTTTTGGGGTGTTGCAGTCTCTGACTGAAATGTTGCTCTAACAACATATTTCCCCCATGGTGTTTCTCTTCTTATTGGTCTTTCCCAGAGTTTGTGAGTTACAAGGACTTACCTCTCTATGTGCTCTTTCCACTGCTATCTACACTCTCTCTCTCTCTCTTTCTCTCTCTCTCTCTCTTTAAGTTTCTATGTAGCATAGTGGCTAAGGCACTTGACTGCTAACCAGAAGGCTGGTGGTTCAAATTCACCAGCCATTCCTCGGAAGGAAGATGGGGCAATCTACTTCCGTAGTAATACTGCCTCGGAAACCCAAGAAGGGGTCGCTATGAGTCGGGTCCGACTCAATGGCACATAACAACAACAACAATGTGATTTGGGTGAAAGTTTACAGAACAAGTTGGCTTTCCATTCAACAATTCATACAACTGCCATCCACTCTTGCCTTCCTTAGATACAACATCTGATACCTCCGTAGGTCAGAATTGAGTAGGTACTATTTGTCAAATGCCTCTGAATTAGAGCATTAAATGTCTCTTGTTGTGTAGACTTTGCTCTGGTATTAACTGCCAGAATTTCACAGAGTTGGAGGAAACTATGGTTAATGGTACAAATTTTGATTAGCTACCTCTTTATTATTAGACTGATATGGAGCATTTGCAAAATAGCATTACCAAAAAAACTAAACTCACTGCCGTGGAGTCAGATCCGACTGATAGCAACCCCTCCTTGGGTTTCCAAGGCAGTATCACTAAAGTAGATTGCCCAATATTCCTTCTGAGGAGTAGGTGGTGGGTTTGAACCAGGAGCCTTCTGATTAGCAGTCAATTACCTTAGGCATTACGCCACTGGACTGAGGTATAACTGACATACATTAAATATTTAAAATGTACAATTTGGTACTTTTTGTATATGCACGCATGAAACCATCACCATGATCTCTATAATGAGCACATCCATCACAAAAATTTCCTTGTGTCCTTTTATAATCTTTCCTTTATACCTACCTGACTTACCCTCAACCCCCACTACATACTAGATGGATATACTTTCCATCCTATAGCTTAATTAGTATTTTACAGAGTATTATGTAAATTGAATCATACAGTATTACTCTGTTTTGTTTGGCTTCTTTCATTCAATATAATTATTTTGAAATTGATCCATGTTATGGTATGTATCACTAGTGCATCCCTTTTTCTTGCTGAGTAATATCCCACTGTAATGTCATACAACTGTTTGTTTGTTTGTTTATTTACCTAACAACAAGGACAACATTTACCTATTTATGGATATTTGGGTTATTTTCAGGTTTTAGCTATTATAAATAAATCTACTATTGAACATTTGGGTAAAAATCTTTATGCTTGCTTTTTTCATGTGTAAATATGTAAGAGTTATATTTAACTTATTAAGAAGCTGCCAAACAATTTGCCAAAACAAATCAAAAGCTGCCATACCATTTTATATTCCCACCAGCAGTATTTGAAAGTTTCAGTTCCTCCACACTCTTGCCAATACTTAAGGGTATTGTCAGTCTTTTTAATTTTAGCCATTCTAATGAGTGTGTAGTGATATCTCACTGTGGCTTTAATTTGCATTTCCTTATCTGCAAATGAGGAGCTCTTGTGGTGTAGTGGTTAAAGCATTCTGCTGCTAACCAAAAGATCAGTGTTTTAGAACCCACCAGCTATTTCACAGCAGAAAGATGATGCCTTGTTTGTCTGCTTCAGTAAAGATTGCAGCCTTGGAAACCCTCTGAGGCATCTCTACTCTGACTTAAAGGGTCACTATGAAGCAGAATGTACATGGTGGCAGTGTCCCCCTCCCCCAATGGCTAGTGATGTTGAGCATCTTTTCTTGTGTTATTTTATATCCTTGTTTTCTTTAATGAAGTATGTATTAAAATCTTTTGCTCATTTATTTTTTGGGGGAGATGTTGACTTATTATTGAACTTTGATAGTTCTTTACTAATCTCTTGGAAGGAAGATTGGGTAATCTCCTGTGATGATACTGCCTTGGAAACCCAAGGAGGGTCACTATGAGTCAGATCCAATTTGCCGGCAGCGAGTGGTTTTTTTTTTTTTTTTTTAATATGTATGAATTA